ATGTGAGTCAGGTTTGCGGGAAAGAAACAAAATGGAAGACCCTGGATTTGTACCCGCGCTCTTAAAAATTCCCAGCCTCAGCCTGTACCTCTGCGCCACTGGGGTACTAACGAATGGTGCTCAATAGTGTTAAATAAGCTACAGTAGGCTAGCCGAGAACTTATATTTTGTTTTATATCTCTTTAATTATGAGAGTCTGTTGATATCCAGGTATCTACAAGAAGGTGAGATTTTCATCTTATTATATGTGGCCAAAAAGAGCTTTAAGCATATTTAATAATCTTGTTTCAAGACGCGGGAGAAGATTTTTTTAGTTTCTTAATTCTGCAAAGCAGTCAATATCAGGTCATTCAGAAGACCTTGAGACATTGTTCTTGCCACGTCAGGCAAAAGAAATCAATAATATTGCTAAAAATACAATAAAAACAGAGTTACAACACTTAATTCACTGGTGACGGTCGTGTTGTTTAACGACTCGAAAAAATGCTCTAATTTCAAGGAGTATACATTGTAAGACAATATCCAATTGTCCAGACTAATTTTAGACATTCACCTTTGCTATAACTTAAAAAGGAAAATCTTGCTAATAAGCTCAAAATTGATTTGCTTCGTCCATGTCATTCGCAAATGCCAGGCACCGTCCCCCAACGTGTGACTCCTTGTAATATTTTGCTTGTTTTTCCTTCTATATCACTTTTGCTGGACTATGAGAACAAGGCATTCATTTTGTTATACCTGGCCACTGAAAGCCTTTAGCCTTACGAGTATTCTCAAAAATGAAATGAAACAATCAAATTTCAATCAAGGCAAGGCCGTCACCATCTATGACTGCCCCCAAGTCACCAGATGACGTGCGTCACTAGCGTAACGACATTGAATAAGGAGGAGCTAAAGCTTATAACGTCACAACGGTTTGTCCTACTATTTATAGTCCTGGTAAGTGCCCCTATACAGCTGGTGTAATCTTTGGTAGTTAATCCAGTAATTACATTCCTGTTGGTCACGCAGAAGTACACAACTAATTGTGTCTGGCTAATGTTTTAACACCCAAATTGTCTTTTCTATTTTTTATGAAAACAAATAATATATGTACAATTAAAGAATATCACCATAACTAGTACTATGAGTAATTAGGCAGTGTTGCGCTGGGGTCATTTGAGAAAGACAATGAGGTTAGGTGACATTGTGTCACTGGCATCAGTATTTACCAGACATATGCTCATAATTTAATTACCGGTCTGTAATTAAATAAAACTCATGTATGCAGCCCACAATTATACAAATATTACTGTGGGCTAGACAAGAGCTAATACACCCGGTCCCTACACCACGCTCCCCAGCACCTATCACAACGAGCTAATACACCTGGTCTCTATACCACGCTCCCCAGCACCTATCACAACGAGCTAATAACAACCGGTCCCTACACCACGCTCCCCAGCACCTATCACAACGAGCTAATCACACCTGGTCTCTACACCACGCTCCCCAGCACCTATCACAACGGCTAATACACCTGGTCTCTACACCACGCTCCCCAGCACCTATCACAACGAGCCAATACACCCGGTCCCTACACCACGCTCCCCAGCACCTATCACAACGAGCTAATACACCCGGTCCCTACACCACGCTCCCCAGCACCTATCACAACGAGCTAATACACCTGGTCTCTACACCACGCTCCCCAGCACCTATCACAACGAGCTAATACACCCGGTCCCTACACCACGCTCCCCAGCACCTATCACCACGAGCTAATACACCTGGTCTCTACACACGCTCCCCAGCACCTATCACAACGAGCTAATACACCTGGTCTCTACACCACGCTCCCCAGCACCTATCACAACGAGCTATACACGGTCCCTACACACGCTCCCCAGCACCTATCACAAAGCTAATACACCCGGTCCTACACCACGCTCCCCAGCACCTATCACAACAGTATCACACGGTCCCTACACATCCAGCACCTATCACAACAGACTACACCCCTACACCGCTCCCAGCACCTATCACAACGAGCTAATACACCCGGTCCCTACACCACGCTCCCCAGCACCTATCACAACGAGCAAACGCACCCGGTCCCTACCACGCTCCCCAGCACCTATCACAACGAGCTAATACACGGTCCCTACACCACGCTCCCAGCACCTATCACAACGAGCTAATACACCTGGTCTCTACACCACGCTCCCCAGCACCTATCACAACGAGCTAATACACCTGGTCTCACACCACGCTCCCCAGCACCTATCACAACGAGCTAATCCGGTCCTACACCGCTCCCCAGCACCTATCACAATGAGCTAATACACCAGGTCCTACACCACGCTCCCCAGCACCTATCACAACGAGCTAATACACCAGGTCCCTACACCACCTCCCCAGCACCTATCACAACGAGCTAATACACCCTCCACCACGCTCCCAGCACCTATCACAACGAGCTATACACGGTCCCTACACCGCTCCCAGCACCTATCACAACGACAACGCCCAGTCCCTACCACGCTCCCCAGCACCTATCACAACGAGCTAATACACCGGCCTACGCTCCAGCACCTATCCGAGCAAACACTTGGTCACCGCTCCCCAGCACCCACAACAGCTAATACCAGGTCCTACACCACGCTCCCAGCACCTATCACAACGAGCTAATACACCGGCTACACCACGCACCCTATCACAACAGGCTAATACACCGGCCCCTACACCACGCTCCCCAGCACCTATCACAACGAGCTAATACACCCGGTCCCGACACCACGCTCCCCAGCACCTATCACAACGAGCTAATACACCCGGCCCCTACACCACGCACCCCAGCACCTATCACAACGAGCTAATACACCCGGTCCCGACACCACGCTCCCCAGCACCTATCACAACGAGCTAATACACCCGGTCCCGACACCACGCTCCCCAGCACCTATCACAACTTTTCGCCACTTCACACTGTTCCAATTAACGGGATATATCGATTGTTTTCCTATATTTTTCTGGTGTTTTAAGACAATTTGGCCAATTCTTGCCTCGGTCTTGCTTATTTGTGGCAACAACACAGAACTCAGCCACCTGCGATCACCTACTGTTGGTAGATAAAACTGTTTTGGTGAGGAATATGGAAGACAATTTACTAATGATAGTAAGTAAGCTTGGAAGAGAGTTTGCGGGATGAAAGTTTATTATAAATGTGAAACAGAATAAAGTAATTAAATAAAATACAAAAAAAGGAAAAGGAAGGATTAATTTTAGTTTGAGTGGAGATGGAACCGTGGAGGAAGAATATCAAAGCCAAACACACATTATGTACAGCCATTGGATTGAATCAACACATCTTTTATTATGCTTTATTTTGTGCAGTCTTTGGTATATATACTCATATAAACAATATTTAAAATGTTTAAAGCTAAATAATATAAACATATTTAGCCGTACTATGAGTTTTCAAGGACCTAACGAAAAATGTTGTATGGAATTGACATATTATTTATTTACTTTAACGCAATAAGGTTATTTGTATATTAGCCTAATTGAACTTATTACTCAGGATGTAAAAGCATTATGGACATGATCAACACCAAAATCGTTTGATTGCGACTTTCAGCATCAACGATAGTGAGCTGTGGTTGAGGTAGTTGGTTAATATGAGTCTCCTGTCCTTACTTCCAGTCCCCGGGAGCTTCACAGATGGTGGGTGCTGGCAGGACGCTGGTGTTGATGGCTGTGTTCCTGAGTGTGGCCCAGTCTCTTCTTCCTTCGGGTAATTTTAAAATTTTATGAGGATTAAGAGTAAAGATATGGAATAAAAGTAAAACGAGAATGATTAGATTATGAAGGAAATATTAAAAACGAGGAAGTTATTTAGGCAGTAATTGAGGACAATGATGCGGACTCATTAACAGATTTGTCCTGCGCTTTACATTCCAGAATTATCAGAAACACGTAAAGATTCTAAGTTTCCCGAGATTATATAAGGTTCCATGTTAAGAGCAGCTCCAAGTGCTTCTTTAGAAGGTGTGAAACAACTTATCCTTACACATCCGAGCAAAGACTACGCTCCATTCCTTTAAATCATCTCTTAAAAAATGTCTTTTGTCTAAGTATTAATATTTTTGTATTACCGACTTTTATCGAAACCACCAAAACCATTATATCAGAAATTGTCATGTAGATAGAAATAAATTACCATTGCAATAATTATAAATTTGACGACAGAACATGATACTGACAGCTTCTGTTCTTTTGATTCACCTTAATACAACCAATGTTGTATTGCTTCCCTCCCTTATCATATTAACCCTTTCGCTGCAATTCCCTCACTTGCCATGTTATTCTGGCTACCGCCAGACGATTTTATTCAGCTTAGGGTAACCTCCCGCAGCCAAAGGGTTAATGTATATCAACTCCATTTTAATCTCTCTCTCTCTTTCTCTCTCTCTGCATTGAGGCAAAAGGGGACATCTTTAAACACACACACACACACACACACACACACACATATATATATATATATATATATATATATATATATATATATATATATATATATATATATATAATATATATATATATATATATATATATATATATATATATATATATATATATATATATATATATATATATATATATATATATATATATATATATATATATGCAAATAAATCACTGTAGGTGAGCGTGATCCAGGTATATGCTGATAACCTTGTGGTTATCAGCATATATATATATATATATATATATATATATATATATATATATATATATATATATATATATATATATATATATATATATATATATATATATATATATATGTGTGTGTGTAACCGGTCGGAATTTACTGGACTTTATTTTCTCACTTGACTTGGTGTTTATTAAAGATTATAAGATGGTAATGGCAGTGGAAGCGCCCCTTGAGAAAAATCCCGAACCAGCACAAGAACACTTAAATCTACTAAACAAAATGAATTGTCCGTGACCCGTGGAAGGATAGTGTCTGTGACTGGGATGAATGAGACACACTGTAAAATTAGACACTTATATTCCCTCCAACACTACAAACACAATCAAATAATGGTACACCAATATGCGCACCTCTTAACTTGAACTTAAAACACTACTCTGGGGAATAAAAGTTATACATGATATAGAAATTATTAGAAACTCAGACAACAATAAATTTGAAGTATTAAGAAATGTTGCTTGCACACATGAAACAGGCCTTAAGGGCTTTCACAAAATAATATCAGTCACTTAGGAAATGGTATTAAAAAAATAGAAATTAAATACTCTACAATGAATAGGCCTTAAGGGCTTTCAACAAAATAATATCAGTCACTGAGGAAATGGTAATAAAAAATAAGAAATTAAATACTCTACAATGAATAGGCCTTAAGGGCTTTCAACAACAAAATATCAGTCACTGAAGAAATGGTAATAAAAAATAAGAAATTAAATACTCTACAATGAATAGGCCTTAGGGGCTTTCAACAAAATAATATCAGTCACTGAGGAAATGGTATTAAAAAATAAATTAAATACTCTACAATGAATAGGCCTTAAGGGCACTCAACAAAATTATATCACCCCAACAGATGCACACTTCCTAACCTAACTTAACCACTACTCTGGGGAACAAGGTTATACCTGAGATCAGAATTATGAAGAACAATTAGATGCATTAAAAGAATCAAATCACAGTATCACTCTGGTTCCACTTAATGGCACAAACATTCAAAAACAATACTATCAAAATTATTTAGGAACTATTAAACTACACACGTCAAGATAATATCAGTCTGAGGAATGGTGTTAACTACACCCGTAATAAAGGAGGGAAGATGTTCCTCTAGGTATCTCCTAGAGACCTAGACTCACGGTCTCAGTGTGTGACCATTAGTTTACTCAGATAGCCTCAGTGTACTCCCAGTGCGTCCATAAAGCGGAAGGGAGTGAGCCAATCAGACCTTGTACAGTTGAGAGAAACTTTAGCTTCCCGTTGGCAAGAGGGTTTCACTAAGCTGCTCGGGACATGTGGTGTTGTGCACCCGAGTGGTAAGAACTGATCACCCACTGTGGATGCTGGTCCCGTCGTTTTAGTTGTCGGAAGCACTCGTTCACTCAAGAGATCCTTTGCTACCCAGCTAAACAGTGACAGGCCTACACTGATCGGTCCAATGGCGACAATCGCCACCCTCAATCATCAACGGCAGTCTCAAACGGCAGTTAATCTCTCGCAGTCAACTCCGGTTAACTCCGGTCAACTCCAGTCAAGTGGGTTCTGACGGAAACCCTGAAATGAACTCACTGTTAGCTCTAGTTTACTTTACCACTGCCCTATCTAACCCTGTCTGAGATCGCATGAGACTTACTTGTTATACGGCAATAGCGCAACACAGGTGACTAGGCCACGTGACTATTTCTGTGACGGACGCGCAGGGACGTCTTGTTTTGTATGAATCCTCCCCGCGACTGAGGGCCAGCCAGCGTCGCGTCCTCTCAAGGCGTTAGCTTAGGCCTACGTGACATATTTTCCGCCTAACTAATAACTCCTTGGGACACCCGTAACATTATTCAGACTGATAAACGATCTATAATAATTTCAAATTCAATAATAGTCCCTTACTTCATGAATCGCATCATTATTGATTCGGTAAATTACATTTAATATCATATAGGCCTAGTTCCGCAATCTCTCGCTATGAGCAGGCAGCGCTCTCTCCCCTCAGATGACCTTGAACGCTCAGTATCGCTAATGGCGGGGCATTTGTAATTACTCTGAAATTTCTGAATATTCCATATATATATATATATATATATATATATATATATATATATATATATATATATATATATATATATATATATATATACAATCAACACCTAAACCCGCCAAGATTCGAACCTACGGCTCACGACTGTGACCAGGGACAACATTGTAGGTGACTCTGAATCTGAAGACTTCCTAGACGCAGTACAGGACAATTTTTTTAAACAACTAATTACAGAACCTACTAGAGGTGACAATATATTAGACCTAGTATTAACAAATTAAGAAAATATTATCAGACATATCACAGTATGGGAAGAACTAGGTAACAGTGATCACAGAGAAATCAGGTTCACCCTAAATTGGGAAACGAAAAACAATAACAATATGGTCAGAGTCCCAAACTTTCGGTTGGCGGATTATCAGGGGCTAAGAAGGTACCTAGGTGAGGTCACCTGGGAACAGTCACGTCAGTCCCCAGTAGGAATGGGTGAGGTCATAGATGACACAACAATTGATCATGACTATAATATATTCACTCGTATACTACATAAAGCGCAAAAACAAAATATACCAAACAGAAAAATTAGGTCAAATAAGAATGAGCCAAGGTGGATGACCAGAAAACTTAAACAAGACATAAGAATAAAGAAAGGAATATATAAGAAATTAAAGGGAGGGGAGGAGCAGCTCAGAAATAGGTACAATGAACTATCTAGGAATGTCAAGAAAAATGTAAGGAAAGCAAAGAGAGACTATGAAATCAAAATAGCAAGAGAATCCAAGGCGAATCCCAAGGGATTTTTCCAGGTATATAGGACAAAGGTCAAGGACAAAGTTGGGCCTTTAAAGTCAGGGACGGGAGAAGTGATAAATGGCAGTGAAGAAATAAGCAAAGCATTGAAAAGCTACTTCTTATCAGTTTTCACAGAAGAAATTTGCTATGAAATTCCAGAGGTGGAACTGATATTTAAGGGAAAGGAAGAAGAGAAATTAAAGAATATCACTGTCAGAAAAGAGGATATTCTTAAGAAGATAAATAAACTAAAGAAAACAAAATCCCCAGGGCCGGATGAAATTTTCCCTCGAGTCTTGAAAGAGTGTAGGGAACAGATTAGCGGACCCCTCGTAAACTTATTTACAAAATCATTAGACACTGGAGTTGTGCCAGACTTGTGGAAACAGGCAAATGTAGTAACCATATTCAAAAAGGGAGACAGCATCAGCGTCAAATTACCGGCGGATCAGTTTGACGTCAGTAGTGGGAAAATTTCTTGAATCAATTATAGCAAATAGCATCCGATCGCATCTAGAGAAAAGGAAATTAATCTACGACTCTCAAAATGGGTTTACAAAGGGAAAATCTTGTCTAACAAATCTGCTGACGTTTTGAAGGAAAGTCTTCGAGGTAGGTAGATACGACGAAAATTACGATGTTATTTACTTAGACTTTAGCAAAGCATTTGACAGAGTACCGTGACTTGAAGCTTTTGAGAAAATTAAGGCTCAGGTATCGAGGGGGAAAGTTTTTAAATTGATAAAATCATGGCTCAATTACAGAACGAGGGTCAGCGTAGATGGTGTTAAATCTGAGTGGGGCCGTGTAACCAGTGGGGTTCCCCAGGGGTCAGTACTAGGCCCACTCTTGTTCCTAATCTACATAAACGATCTAGATACTGGGATCAGCAGTGACATAAGCAAGTTTGCGGATGACACCAAACTAGGGCGACAAATTAATTCAGGGCAGGATGCAAATGCATTCCAGGAGGATCTAAATAAACTGCAGGGGTGGTCTGAAAAATGGCAAATGAAATTCAACACCAGCAAGTGCAGCGTACTTAATATTGGAAGAACAAATACTTATAATGTATACAGCCTTAACAACATCAACCTAGAGAAGTCGACTTGTGAAAGAGACCTAAGGGTATTTGTAAGCCCGGACCTACGGCCTAGAAAACAGTGCGTTAATGTTCGAAATAAGGCAAACAGAGTATTGGGTTTTATATCTAGAAGTCTAAGTAACAAGAGTGCAGAGGTCTTAATGCAACTATATCTTGTGCTAGTCAGGCCACACTTCGATTATGCGGTTCACTTCTGGTGCCCGTATTATAGAATGGATAAATTCACTAGAGTCGGTGCAGTGAAGAATGACAAAAATGATTCCGGGACTTAGAAACCTTCCTTATCAGGATAGGTTAAAGAAACTTAACTTGCATTCCCTAGAAAGACGAAGCGGGCGGGGAGATATGATAGAAGTATTTAAGTGGGTGAAAGGAATCAATAAAGGGGATATAGATAAATTTCTTATAATATCCGAGCAGGATATTACTCGGAGCAACGGATTCAAGATGGATAAGTTTAGGTTTAGGAAGGAGATAGGAAGAAACTGGTTCACAAATAGGGTGGTGGACGAGTGGAACAAGCTTAGCAACTTTGTAGTAAGTGAGGGAACTCTGGAAAGTTTCAAAAGGAGGCTAGATAGATTCATGGATGATAGAGAGTGGTAGTAACTCTCGACAGGAGCTGCCATGCACAGGCCAACCGGCCTATTGCAGACTCCTTATTTTCTTATGCTCTTATGTACTGGACCACCAAGATACTAAAGCAGTCTTAGACTCTGTTATATTTCACCCAAAGCCTGTTCAACGAACTTATGGCACCGTGAACCTCTAATGGGGACTACCCGTATCACGTAGGTGGTCAGAGTAACGTTTTACCAAATCTGGCTTCGAAACACGAGGATCCATATATATTTCATTAGCCCAATAAAGCACGCGGACTTCTGATATGGTTTTATTACCACTATGTTATTGTACTATTCCAGATGATACTAAATGTTATATAATATTTCCTTGAGATCAATGTAAAGTATATATCAGGTGCCTTCAAGAGGGCTCAGGCTCTCAACTGGCTCAGCCATGTCAATATTGTTTTTATTATCCATTCTGTATCTGTGTTATTCTGGCTAAATAAACTGCTTCAATATCAATTCAATATCAATGACAAATGCAAGCTGTCAGATTACAACGTCAACCATTTATGAAAGCTGTGGTGTTCAAATTTATCTAACGATCAAAGGTCATTCTTTATCTAGTCATGTTTTCTTGGCTTACGTTATCTTTAATAAATCATATAATGTCGTAGTCTCTAGACTTACATATAAATTCTAAGCACACATACATAGCTATTATTTGTACGGAAAATAACATATGAAACAGTGTAAGTTCAGGTAAGCTTTTTACTACCATCCTCCACAAGCGTTTTAAACAGTTGGGCAATTTTGTAAACCTTTTTCTTTTAAATGTCTACTGAAGAGTGCTGAACAATGCTGTACGTGCAAATGTCTTGACAATTGCCTTTACTGTTTTTTCCAGCAATTTAAGAAAATATTAAGAAAGTCAAGGGTATTCAGTACATCAGAATATTCCTTTACAGTTATCTTAGAGGCGGTGGCTCCTGAGGTCCTTCAGGCGGTGTTAGTCAGTGAGTGGCATCCTCGCTGTTCCCTCATCTTCCTTACTGACGACCATCCTTCAGCCCTCACAGTGTTTACGGTGCGTAAACTTGTCTTTGCTTTGTAACGTTATTTTTATAAATAATTCTTACTTTCAAATTTTCAAGAGGGAATACTTTACAAATTAAATAAAAATTATTCAGATTATTGTAAATAATTTATATTTGAAAGTAAACGTGGATCCCAGAGATAGTGTACATAGAGGTCGTTTCATGCTAAACCTTCAGTACACATAGAAGCAAGCAGGTTGGGTAGCATTGAGTTTGACCCAACTTCACAGATGGGTAAAGTGAGCGTCTTACGAGTTCGAGGCAAATACCCGTACGACTCAAAACAAGTGGTCTTCCAGCTAATCCCAGGTTTCAGCACAAGTGATCAGGTATAAAAATTACTAATGATACCAGTTGTTAGTGATGGTGCAATTCTTTATTGCAGAACCGTTTCCAAGGGAATCATCAAAATATTATGACAAACACCTATCTTTATGTTAACTGCTATAACTTTGTTATTAAATAAGCAGGGAACACAAATCCGGTGTTGAATGAAAGGGTTGAGCTTACTCTAAGCAACAACGTCTCTTATTGATACGGTATTGTTCAGTAAATTTACATATAACTATGACGTCACAAACCAGAAAATAATTAAAAAAATATATTTTCTTTTCCTGTTATACATTTATTGTAGCGTCTTGGTGGCTCAAATTAGTGCTGTCTGGTAGGAAATATAGACAAAATCATTGTATGGAATGGAGGATCAGGAAAATATCGATTAAGCCTCTGGCACAGGCAGTTCCCAATGAGGTTCACAGCGCCATCAGCTCGATGAACAGGCTTTGTGTGAAATATAACAGAGTCTAGGACTGCTTTTTAGTGTCCCTGTGGGTTGGTCAGTAGCGTTCCCTAGTCCCACCCAGTAGGTCGAGGGTTCGAATCCTGGCTGGTGAGGTCGTTGATTGTATATATATATATATATATATATATATATATATATATATATATATATATCATTAGCCCATATAGCACGCAGACTTCGAACATACAATCAAGACCTCACCAACCAGGATTCGAACCCTCGACCTCTGCGTGTGAACTGGGATCGATGCTGTGCGCCACAAGGACAACAAACTCAATTTTAGACTTTGTTATATTTCACACAAAGCCTGTTCTATCGGCTACCATCAGCGCGATAAAATGCTACTCCGACCACGTAGTTGGCACGGGCAATCCCCAGTGGAAGTTCAGGGCACTGATGGTAGCAAGATAGAACAGGCTTTGTGTGAAATATAACAAAGGCGAACTTGAGTTTGATGTCCTTGTGGCTCGGTGGTAGCAATCCCTGTTCACACGCAAAGGTCGAGCGTTCGAATCCTGGCTGGTGAGGTCTTAATTGTATATATATATATATATATATATATATATATATATATATATATATATATATATATATATATATATATATATATATATGCAAGTAAATCACTGTAGTTGCGCGTGATCTAGGTATTTGCTGATAACCACAAGGAAAGAAGAAAACACGAAGTTCCCAAGCGCTTTCGTGTAATTCACATCTTCAGGGGTGAGTACAGACTAAAGAGAAGTACAAAACAAGGTGTATATATACAGAGGAGAGTGAGACCAGGTCCATATATATATATATATATATATATATATATATATATATATATATATATATATATATATATATATATATATATATATATATATATATATATATATATTTCATGTAAATCCACAATGAAAACGTGGATAAGATAAATCTTGATAAAATCACACGGGAAAATGGAAACAACGGAGTACCTTAGCTTTCGTCTTTATTCAAGACATCTTCAGAGGCAACTAGATTACATGGACAGAGAGAGGCTTAAATATACAGGGTGACCTAAAAACATGAGGTCAGGTCATAATGATGACATCCACTAATCCCCACACCAACACAACCGTAGAGGAGCTTAAGAGAAGGGTGGTGACGTGACTAGACAGGTCAGGTCAGAAAAAAGGGACCCACAAAATAACTGTCATACATCAAGATCAAAGGTTTTCAAAGCATTTTTAACCTTGGGCCACTGACAAATAAATTTATGTAACATATTATCAGTTTTGAACTGACCATCACTAAGGTTTATTGATTTTAATTCCTTAATCAAACTAGCTTCAACCAGAAGTCTTTCTGTGACACAAGATGATTTGAATACTTCTAAGCTTTTTTCCCAAGCAATGGGGTGATTATTATTCCTAACATGAACGAACAAGGCACTGCTTTCAGATGCAGTTCTGATATTATACTTATGTTGTTTGATTCTGAGCTGCAGTGTTTTTCCTGTCTGACCTACATAATTACAATTACATTTGCTACATGGAATACAATAAACACTTCCATTTACATTCAAACTTGGGCTATTCCTTATTAACATATTGGTAATGGTTGAGTCATACTTGAAAACAACATTAATATTTAGAAGCTTGAGGGACCGAACTAAAGGGACAAATTCATCACGATAGGGCAGAGTCAAAATATTCTTAAGTGTAGGAACTTGTCTGGTTACAGAGGAATGAAAGGATTTTTTAGCCCTTTTAAAGCAACGATCAACAAACACAGAAGGGTACCCAAGTTTCTGTGCAATAGAACGAATGTGTTTAAATTCGTCGTCAATAAATTCAGAGTCACAAATACGCAGACATCGTAGGAACATAGCAGAAAAAACTGACATTTTGGTAGACTCAAGGTGATTGGATAAAAAGTGAATGAAACTGTCTACCTGTGTGGGCTTTCTATATACCTTAAATTTATAGTTTTGGCCATTTCTCATGATAAGCATATCAAGAAATGGAAGGGATTCATTTATTTCTCTTTCAATTTTGAATGTGATACTAGGGACAATATTATTAAGCTTGTCTAAAAATTCCAATGGGTCACTGTTTTTAGGCCAAAGACAAAGAACATCATCTACATATCTATACCAAGGAGGAATACAGTCCACTACATTGGGGAGTAATCTAGACTCAAAAAACTCCATATAAATACAGGCTAGAGGAGCAGAAAGACAATTACCCATGCTCATGCCAAATATTTGCTTGTAGAACTTCCCATTTGCTCTAAACACATTGTCAGTTACGCATAACTCTATCAATTTCAGGAAAGTATCATGTTCAATAGTTAAATCTAACAGTTGTAATTTATCTTTAAGAAATGAAAGTAAGTCTTTCACAGGTACTCTAGTGAACAGTGAATTTACATCAAAACTTATTAATTCGCAAGGTTCGTTGTGTTTCTTGAGTTTATCAATTAAATCACTGCTATTGCGTATATGTGAATTAGATATTTGGCCTGTAAGAGGGGATATCATCTTTACCAGCCACTTGGATAATTTGTAAGTAACAGAACCCACAGAACTCACGATAGGACGTAATGGATTATTAAGCTTGTGTGTTTTGATCAATCCATACATATAAGGTAAAGTGGGATTGATTTGAGAGAGCTGTTTAGTGAGATCGGGGTTCTTTTTCAATAACATCTTCATTTTGGAATTAGATAACTTATTAATATTTTCCAGGGGATCTTTCGTAAGCTCACAATACGTGCTTTCATCACTAAGTAATGAATTCATCTTATCATTGTAGTCACTTTTATCCAAGATAACAATAGCATTAGACTTATCAGCCTTGGTAATATGGATATTCTTATTTCTTTTCAAGTTTATCAAGGCTGTTTCAAATCTTTTTGGAATGTTTGAAGCAAATTTCTTATTTAAAACACTATGTATACAACCTTTAGCTATGGAAATATCTTCATTTGTAACATCAGACGACTTCTTCTTTTCCAGGTTGATTAAACCTTTAGCAATAGTAAGCGGATTAACACACCATTGAGTGATAGAAAACTTCCTACCAAAACCAAGAACAAGTTTCTCATTTGTCTGTAGATCATAAGATGATAAGTTTATGAACAAATTTGGATCACTCAATATGGTCCAGTAACTCTCGTCAAACAGAGCATTTAATTTGGCATTTAACCTTCTTTTTTGGGCTTTGTCAGTTTCACTAAGAAGTTGATATACAAAATCACGAATGGTGTGCCACTTATCAACACAACACATATAATCCTTTACGTCCTATCGTGAGTTCTGTGGGTTCTGTTACTTACAAATTATCCAAGTGGCTGGTAAAATTGATATCCCCTCTTACAGGCCAAATATCTAATTCACATATACGCAATAGCAGTGATTTAATTGATAAACTCAAGAAACACAACGAACCTTGCGAATTAATAAGTTTTGATGTAAATTCACTGTTCACCAGAGTACCTGTGAAAGACTTACTTTCATTTTTTAAAGATAAATTACAACTGCTAGATTTAACTATTGAACATGATACCTTCCTGAAATTGATAGAGTTATGCGTAACTGACAATGTGTTTAGTGCAAATGGGAAGTTCTACAAGCAAGTATTTGGCATGAGCATGGGTAATTGTCTTTCTGCTCCTCTAGCCTGTATTTATATGGAGTTTTTTGAGTCTAGATTACTACCCAATATAGTGGACTTTATTCCTCCTTGGTATAGATATGTAGATGATGTTCTTTGTCTTTGGCCTAAAAACAGTGACCCTTTGGAATTTTTAGACAAGCTTAATAATATTGTCCCTAGTATCACATTCAAAATTGAAAGAGAAATAAGTGAATCCCTTCCATTTCTTGATATGCTTATCATGAGAAATGGCCAAAACTATAAATTTAAGGTATATAGAAAGCCCACACAGGTAGACAGTTTCATTCACTTTTTATCCAATCACCTTGAGTCTACCAAAATGTCAGTTTTTTCTGCTATGTTCCTACGATGTCTGCGTATTTGTGACTCTGAATTTATTGACGACGAATTTAAACACATTCGTTCTATTGCACAGAAACTTGGGTACCCTTCTGTGTTTGTTGATCGTTGCTTTAAAAGGGCTAAAAAATCCTTTCATTCCTCTGTAACCAGACAAGTTCCTACACTTAAGAATATTTTGACTCTGCCCTATCGTGATGAATTTGTCCCTTTAGTTCGGTCCCTCAAGCTTTTAAATATTAATGTTGTTTTCAAGTATGACTCAACCATTACCAATATGTTAATAAGGAATAGCCCAAGTTTGAATGTAAATGGAAGTGTTTATTGTATTCCATGTAGCCAAATGTGAGTATGTGTGGGTCAGGCAGCCAGTGTTCGTTCATGTTAAGAATAATATCACCCCATTGCTTGGGAAAAAAGCAGAAATATTCAAATCATCTTGTGTCACAAGAAACTTCTGTGAAGCTAGTTTGATTAAGGAATTGGAAATCAAGCTAACCTTGGTGAGTGGTCCGGTTCAAAACTGATGGCCATGTTACATAAGAGCTGACGTCAGTATTGAGTAAAATGCTTTAGCTGCCCCGATGATATTGTGAGTCCCTGACCTGTCACAGCTCGTCACCACCTTGCCTGCTTTCCATTTGTGACGGTAACCGAGGCGTGAATGCATGTGCGACGACATACATGTTTGGTCACGCATATTTAAGCCTCTTCCATACAATTGCACTCGAATATGCCGGAAGCAAGGCAAATCCTCCGTTGTTTCCCCATTTTCCGTGTGTTACAACTCGAAAGTCTATATATATATATATATATATATATATATATATATATATATATATATATATATATATATATATATATATATATATATATATATATATATATATGTAACCGGTCGAAATTACTGAACTTTAATTTCTCACTTTACTTGGGGTTTATTAAAGATTATTAGATGGTAACTGCAGTGGAAGCGCCCCTTAGTGAGAAATCCCGAACCAGCACAAGAGCACTTAAATTTACTAAACAAAATGAATTGTCCGTGACCCGTGGAAGGATAGCGTCTGTGACTGGGATGAATGAGACACACTGTAAAATTTACACTTATATTCCCTCCAACACTACAAACACAATCAAATAATGGTACACCAATATGCTCACTTCTTAACCTGAACTTAAAACACTACTCTGGGGAATAAAAGTTATACATGATGTTGAAATTATTAGAAACTCAGGCAATGCCTCATTAGAGGATAATAAGTTTAAAGTATTAAGAAATGTTGCTTGCACACATGAACCAGGCCTTAAGGGCTTTCAACAAAATATCAATCACTGAGAAAATGATATTAAAAAAATAAGAAATTAATAACTCTACAAGGAATAGGCCTTCAGGGCGCTCAACAAAATTATATTACCCCCACAGAGGCACACCTCCTAACCTAACTTAAACACTACTCTGGGGAACAAGGGTTATACCTGAGATTGAGATTATAAAGAAATATTAAATGCACACAGCATACATTCGTAACTGAAAAAATAGTAGTAACTACACACATAATATTGTCACTATTATTGAGAAGTTACTGAGTCCACCAATACCCGTGAACCATGCTTCCTAACCTAACACACACACAGATTCCACCTGCACTCCGTTGTCGTTTAAGGCACAACCAACAGGCACCCGTAGTTTAAGGCCCAAATCAGCCTTTCTCCACCTTGGAAAGTGTACCTCTAAACTCCACTGACTCACGGCCCCAGTGTGCGGCCCTGTATCACTCAGCTGGCTTCACTTTACCCCCAGTACATCCATGAAGCGAAAGGGAGTGAGCCAATCAGACCTTGTACAGTTGAGAGAAGCTTTAGCTTCCCGTTAGCAAAAGGGTTTCACTAAGCTGCTTGAGATATGTGGTGTTGTGAGCCTAGGTAGAGGAGAGCTGATGACCCCAACGATCGTCCCGTCGTTATCTGGGCACCCAGACTGCTAGATTCACTCAAGAGATCCTTTGATACCCCGCTAAACAGTGACAGGCCTAAGCTGATCGGTCCAACGGCGACAATCGCCAATCCTCAATCATCAACGGCAGTCTCAAACGGCAGTCAATCTCTCGCAGTCATCATTCTCTCAGTCAATTTCTCGCAGTCAAGTGGGTTCTGACGGAAACCCTGAAATGAACTCATTGTTAGCTCTTGTTAACTTTATCACTGCCCTATCTAAACCCTGTCTGAGATCGAATGAGACTTACTTGTTATACTGCAATAGCGCAACACAGGTGACTAGGCCACGTGACCATTTCTGTGACGGACACACAGGGACGTCTTGTTGGTCCGAATGCTTCCACGTGACTGAGAGCTAGCCAGCCTTGTGTTCTCTCAAGGCGTTAGCTTAGGCCTATGTGACATATTTTCCGCCTAACTAATAACCCCTTGGGACACCCGTAACATTATTCAGACTGAGACACGATCTATAATAATTTCAAATTCAATAATAGTCCCTTAACTTCATGAATCGCATCATTATTAAATCGGCAAATTACATTTAATCTCATATAGGCCTCGTTCCACAACCTCTCTCTATGTACGCTATGTGCAGGGAGCGCTCTCTTCCCTCAGACGACCTTGAAAACTCAGTGTTGCCAATGGCGCGGCGTTTGAAATTACACTGAAATTTCTGAATATTACAATCGACCCCCCTAAAAAAGATAGCACTGTCCTCATGTGCTGAGAAAAGTATGCAACGACCCCCCTAAAAAAAATTTCTCAGAATCTGCACCTCACACCTGCAACGTGCTAAATGCAGCATTTCCGTCTTCTCTTCTCTCTCCCGCTAACATATATATATATATATATATATATATATTTATATATATATATATATATATATATATATATATATATATATATATATATATATATATATATATATATATATATATATATATATATATATATATATATAAATGTATAATATTATTCGTCTTTGTAAATGCACAGAAATAATATTTCTACTTTTCGGAGGAAAATGGAAAACTTTTATAAATTTATTTATTCTTAAAGGAATACCAGTCTCTGATGGGTCCCTGGGGTGTGGGGCTTTTCGAGGTGGCAGTGGACGGCCAGGACTCTAACGTGACGCAGGCACAGCTCTCCCGGGTGGTCGACGAGGCTCGGCGGGTAAGTCACTCTCACATTACTTCTGAGGCGGGTAGGTCACTCTCACATTACTACTGCGGCGGGTATGTCACTCACAGTGCTACTGAGGCGGGTAGGTTACTCTCACATTACTACTGAGGCGGGCAGGTCACTCTCACATTACTACTGAGGCGGGTAGGTCCGCTCTCACATTACTACTGGGCGGGTAGGTCACTCTCCCACATTACTACTGAGGCGGGTAGGTCACTCTCACATAACTTCTACTGTGTTAACGTCAACAGCTGCGGCAGGTGTCATGGTGCGTGACGGTGGTGGTGGTGAGCGACGACCCAGCCTTCCTCGCCGCCTTCGCCGAGTGGTCCCTCAAGGGCCGCCTCCTGGTGTGGCCAACGAGGCTCCTCGTCGTCACCCGCCTGCCCCTCCCGGAGCTGCACTACCTACACAAGTTACTCTCCACGACCAACTCCATGTTGCTTGTGGTCCAGGATACTTCAGGAAAATTTAGGTATCGACTCTCGTTTGTGTGTTATTTTAGAATAACATATGAACATTTTAGTTGTTCCATCAAAGTGAACAGTGCATGATATATTCTCAAAGGAATGGGCAGTTTAGAAGGATTAGAAATGGAAACATTATATAATAATCAACTATTTCACAGATGCAGTGTGTACATGTACTTACCATACAGCTCACCAGAAGACAGGGCTCTGAGTCTTGCCTCCTGGACGCTCCGCCGAGGTCTAACCCTTGCCACCCATCTCCCACTTTTCCCTGACAAATACTCCAGGTGTGCTTCTTCCTAAGATAACTGTGCACAGTCAGGGTCAAAAGTAATCATCCACCCCTTCAACTACCATACCCGCGAGCTCAAGGCCTTTCTACACTATTGGTCACAAGAGTGGGGGCAAGGTACTGAGGGGGAAGGGGGATACTAGTGGTGGCGGATCCGGGTAGGTTAGGAGGGCGCAGGTTAATGACCACTTATATGGTGAGACTGTATGTGGTCATAAAATTATCCTTAACACCTGAAGATGGTGTTAAGTTGGTGGATGTAGCCTGACGTTGACGGTCTTAAGACCCTGGCAGTTGATAGGCCTAAAGCCCAAGCAACCAACCAACCAGGGGGGCGGGTGTCCGGGGAGGTGAAGGGAAGGTGTCATATGGACTTAACTTTTCCCTTAGTTATCAATGCCTTTACTTAAGATTCTAGGGAGGAATGCGAGTGAGCTTTTGGCAGGTAATGTGTCATTAAGGTTGATAAGGCGTTTGGCTTCTGTGAAGGAAAACCCCTGATATGACAACATAGAGAGGAGGAGGCGTGGCTTGCTCACCATCAGTAGCAATAAACGAGGCTGTTACTTGATCACTTGTACCTCCCGCCACTACCGTTCTTGAAGAAAAAAATATTATTAATTGATAAAAAAGAAGAAGAATTTGTTGGATAGATTGTGACAAGCCTAGCCTTGTGTTCTGGGTCCTAAGAAGATTCAAGTAAAGGAGGCCATTGAGATTCTGTATGACCTGTGTTGGTAAATATTTTAAAAATGAATGTGATTTATACCATAGTATTCAATATTTGTCCTTATATTAACGTTATTGTAAATATCTAATTACCGGAGATTAAATCCTGAACCACAACATGAAAAAAATGAAAAATAAGGAAATGAATGGTACATTATATATTATAATAATCACAAAATAAGGGGCGACATATATGTAGAAGTTGTCAACACTTACTTGTATGTTGAAAAACAAAATTACATAAATAATTTACTCTAGCTTTTCAGTCGGAAATTTATATTTTTCAAGTATTTTAGCCGAGAAAAATGACAACAATATTAATTGTTTAAAGTGGTCAGGGCTTTGAAGCTGAGGTATAATGTGGGGCAAAATACTTTAAAAAAAAACTGTTGAAAACCTGACCAAACCTTTAAAAATCCTGTAATAAAGTGAGTATTATTTCCGTTATTTTATTTCTTAATTCTATTTATTTACTTACTTTTACTTCCTCTCTCTGTTCTCTAATTCTCTTTTTTTCTTAATATTTCTTTCTTTCTTTGTTCTATATACTAGTATAGTGAGAGGGGGAGGAGGGGAAGGGGAGGACGGTGGTTGAGGTCTGCCTGCAGTCACTCCCCCACCAGAGAGTCGGCCTGGGAGCAGACAGGAGGGAAGAACAAGGTGAGAGGGGAATAGCTGGGGGGAATAGGCCAACATGCAATAACTGAGCCACTAGGAGAAACAAGTGTTGTTACTCCTGGGGGTTACTGTGTATCACTGTGTAACACAAAGACACTTAAGAGGAATATTTTACTCGATGGACAATGGAAGGGAATTGAGAACAATTATTAACGGTTCTTCATTTATTAGCGATGCCACCCAGAATGTATAGTTACACCCTTAAAACAATACCCAATTCTCCTAGCTAGTTAAATGAGGATCACATGATCACATTACATTTTGTGAAGCGGATAACACCTTAAGTGCACTTAATTATATATATATATATATATATATATATATATATATATATATATATATATATATATATATATATATATATATATAAATGCAAGTAAATCACTGGAGTTGCGCGTGATCCAGGTATATGCTGATAACCACAAGGAAAGAAGAAAACACGAAGTTCCCAAGCGCTTTCGTGTAATTCACATCTTCAGGGTACTTGTAAGCCCGGACCTACGGCCTAGAAAACAGTGCGTTAATGTTCGAAATAAGGCAAAGAGAGTATTGGGTTTTATATCTAGAAGTGTAAGTAACAAGAGTGCAGAGGTCTTATTGCAACTATATCTTGCGCTAGTCAGGCCGCACCTCGATTATGCGGTTCAGTTCTGGTGCCCCTATTATAGAATGGATATAAATTCACTAGAGTCGGTGCAGCGAAGAATGACACAAATGATTCCGGGACTTAGAAACCTTCCATATCATGATAGGTTAAAGAAACTTAACTTGCATTCCCTAGAAAGACGAAGAGTGCGGGGAGATATGATAGAAGTATTTAAGTGGGTGAAAGGAATCAATAAAGGGGATATAGATAAAGTTCTTAAAATATCCGGGCAGGATAGGACTCGGAGCAACGGATTCAAGTTGGATAAGTTTAGGTTTAGGAGGGAGATAGGAAGAAACTGGTTCACAAATAGGGTGGTGGACGAGTGGAACAAGCTTAGCAACTTTGTAGTAAGTGAGGGAACTCTGGAAAGTTTCAAAAGGAGGCTAGATAGATTCATGGATGATAGAGAGTGGTAGTAGCTTTCTAGACGGGAGCTGCCATGCACGAGCCAACCGGCCTGTTGCAGAACTCCTTGTACTGCCCTGTAATTTCTTACGTTCAGCATGAAAGCGTTTCTTCTTTTTATGTGGTTGTCGGCAACATAGCATATATATATATATATATATACTTATATACTGCTGCTATATATATATATATATATATATATATATATATATATATATATATATATATATATATATATATGGTAATTATGTAGGACAGACAGGAAAAACACTGCAGCTTAGAATCAAACAACATAAGTACAATATCAGAACAGCATCTGAAAGCAGTGCCCTGTTCGTTCATGTTAGGAATAATAATCATCCCATTGCTTGGGAAAAAAGCTTAGAAGTATTTAAATCATCTTGTGTCACAGAAAGACTTCTGGTTGAAGCTAGTTTGATTAAGGAATTAAAATCAATAAACCTTAGTGATGGTCAGTTCAAAACTGATAATATGTTACATAAATTTATTTGTTAGTGGCCCAAGGTTAAAAATGCTCTGAAAACCTTTGATCTCGATGTATGATAGTTATTTAGTGGGTCCCGTATTTTTGACCTGACCTGACGAGTCACGTCACACCCCTTCTCTTAAGCTCCTCTACGTGTGTGTTGGTATGGGGATTTGTGGATGACATAAGCAAGTTTGCGGATGACACCAAAATAGAGCGGCAAATTAATTCAGGGCAGGATGCAAATGCATTATAGGAGGAACTAAATAAACTGCAGTGGTGGTCTGAAAAATGGCAAATGAAATTCAACACCAGCAAGTGCAGCGTACTTAATATTGGAAGAACAAATACTTATAATGTATACAGCCTTAACAACATCAACCTAGAGAAATCGACTTGTGAAAGAGACCTAGGGGTACTTGTAAGCCCCGACCTACGGCCTAGAAAACAGTGCGTTAATGTTCGAAATAA